CAAAATCCTCTAAAAAAAAAATTAAAATTAAGGGCTAGAAGATGATGTGGTGGTTAAGGAGCTGGACTCCCATGTGGCCAACTGTGGTTTGAGTCCTGAACCTGTTGGCTTTCTGTTGCTGGCAAGAATATGTGCCCTGTAGCAAAAAAAAAAAAAAAAAAGAAATAATTTTAAAAAGCCCCTAAAAACGGGGCCAGCAGATGGCGTGGTAGTTCATGTAAAAATGGGGCCAGCAGGTGGCATGGTAGTTAACGGGCGTTGGACTTCTACATGGCCGACTGCAGTTTGAGTCCTGGATTTGGTGGATTGCTTTCTCACTTTTTTTTTTCTCTCTCTCTCTCTCTCTCTCTCTCTGGTCAAACTAAATAAAATATAAAAAAATTAAAAATTAAAACATGTTTGGCCATCGAGTGTTGTAGTTAAGACAGTGGACTCCCATATAGCCAACTGCAGTTTGAGTCCCAGACCTGGTGGCTTGAAATTCACACTGGGTGTGTGTGTGCACGCCGCAAATCCCAAGAGAATGGAGGAGAAGGAATTGGCAGTGTTGTCACACACCGCCGCCGCCCGCCCCCCGTGTGATTTCTCTCTTTTCCTTTCTCTGTATGTCTGTCTATCTCTTTGTTGAGCACACCTGTCCTATGGTAAAAACCTAAAAAAAGAGAGAAAAAAAACCATGTTCTATCTAGTCATCTATTCATCTCTACACACTTTACCGAACACCTACTACACACAAAGTGCTGTTTAGAGATGCCATGGATTCAGATATGAGTAAGCCAGGACCCATCTGGAGATGGATCAACTCTAGGCGAGGGAGAGACAAATACCAGCCGTCAGTCTGCTCTCAGGACACAGAAGGCCCTTAACTCAGAGAAGGAAAGAAGAGGAGGATGGAAACCTTCACTCAGGAGGGTTTGAGGCAATTCTTGTTGAACAGGTAAGAATTTTCCAGTTAAATGGGATTGGGACTTAGAGAAAATTTTAGGAGGAGAAATCATGTGTATATGCTAGAAGTTAGAACAAACTTGGGTTGAGGGAGCTGGATACCATATAACTGACTGCACAGTGTGACTCCTGGCCCTGGATTGAAAACCTTAAGAAACACACCAGGTATATGTGCAGGGATGAGTTAAACCCCAGGGGAAGGAGGAATGGAGGCAGAGGGTTGTTGGACGATGCTTTCTTCCTTTCCCTTTCAGTCTGTCTCTCCCTGGCAAGGGCATGCTCTTGCAAAACTAAAAAGAAAAAATTCAGTGTGTATAACTGGAGAGGAGGCTATATTCTAGAAGGAATGCGAAAGGAATGGTAATGTGGGAATGTTCAGGGCAGCCAGACCACAACTCACTGCCGGCACTGCCCCCTAGTGGAGATGCAGGAGATAAACAAGAGCAGCTGGAAGGGGCCGCCGGAGGTAAACAGACCTGCGAGGAGTATATGCAGCCTGTAGCAGGCCCAGGAAGTCCGCGGACTGAACCCCTAGCACAAAAGGAGTGTGGTCTCAGTATTCAAAAAAGGTTCCCTACCCCAACCTTCTGATCCTTGCTCCAGTGGGATCTTTTCTTTGGCCAAAATAATGAAATTGTAGGAATCATGTTACGGTGCATTTTCCCTGGGAAAGAGGGACACGTGGACTTTTCTTTCACGCATCCTGTGTGGGGGGAGAGCAAATGCATGTGCCGGGGAGGAGGGCAAGCCCCAGAACTCTGATGAGGACAGTAGAGGGAAGATCCTGATCATAACACTGCTCTGGGCATGGCTTGGTGGTGGTGCCTTGAAAGGAGCAGTTAGCTAGAGGGCACCATGGAGCCCGGTGTTCACAATGGTGGTGCCGAGGCAGTGACCTCTGCACCTCTGATGGAAACTCAGAATTCCGAGTTAGAAAGGTCTGGGAAACAGAAGTGCATTCCCCACAAGCTAGCCCCCACATTCTGATCAGCAGGCTCTTTCATCAGTGTAGTTTGGTAGTGAATAACCAAGAATGTGGGCTTTGGATTCAGGTGGAGCTGGAGCTCTTCGATATGTCAGCACAGGGCCCTGGGCAAGTCTGTCAATGTCTCAGAGCCTGCATCTATGCGAGGTGTGGGGTTCGAGGTGCAGATACTTCCCTCTGAATTCCCAAGGACTTAATGACCCTAAGTAAACACTACACAGCTTAAATACACCTACAGGGGTGCTGGTTTGCCTAAAGAGGAGCAACCTCTCCCCCCGGAGTAATTTCGAGTCATGACTCCATATGGCACTTAAGATTTTCTGTCCTTTCCTAGGCTCTGATGCTGGCTGGGTGGCACTGATGTTTGTAAGCCTGGATCACACTCACAGGATCCACACCAACTTTGACAGAGTGGCTGCCTTTTCATTCTTTGGATGTTTGTGCAGAATTAGTTTACAGAATCAGTTCTGGAGATGTTTAGATTAAATCATTTAAAGCTATCACTTGCCAGCAAGTTTTTTTTTTTTTTTTGCTATAGCCAACACTACTATAGGAAACGTTTCCTCTAGGGACAGGACTCAGATGTGTACTTACTGGTTGGATGTTGCTTGTTGCTAAGAAAAGAATGTTTTAGCAAAGTAGGTCTGGACCAAGGCTAGAGACTTCGACAAGTGGGCCTCACTCCGTGTTTGAACAAATACTCTGGGGATAAATCTGATAAATTCTGACTGTCTGGTTATTACTCTGGTGACCCTATCTGATAGACTGTCCACAGGGCTGAGAAGGCAGTTGGAGACTAAGAAACACCGTACCCAGGACTCTTAGGTGACAGAGTGGGAGAGGAGAGCATGCCCTAGGAGGGCGGGTCACTGCAGTCCCTTCCCTCTCTCCATCCTGACAAGACTTTGGGTATGTACACACATGCCCCCGGCATGGCTTTCAAGCTGTTGGGGCTAGGATTCAAACTGCTGTCAGCCATTTTGGGACTTGGCTGCCTTAACCACTAGGCTACAGAAATGTTTCCCTCCTAATCCCCCCCCCACCCCAACTTATATTTTTGTGTGAATTCCCTCTATATATCTCATCATTGATCCCAATAAGATTCCAAATTCATACAAAATGTACAACTACAAAAAAAAAAAAAAGAAAGAAAACTAAGTGAGGGAATATTCCTCACTAAAGAAATTAGAAAATACGACAATTCTAATTACACTCTTGGGGCTGGCAGATGGCGTGGTGGTTAAGGGTTTCTGACTTTTCTGACAGGTAAAATAATATAACCACTGTCACAAGGGATAAATGTAAAAGAATCAGGCTTAGAAGTCCAGATTTCTACAACTAAGCTATGCTTTCATATCCTTTAAAATCTTCAGTGGTTGGAAGAAAATATAGCTTAAGAAGTTTGTGTATTTATTGCCAGAGGGTTTGTGTGCTGGCCACAGAAATCACCCCTGCAATGGGATGTGGTACCACAAGCCTTTTTCTTCCATTTCTCTATCTTATCAGGATTTGGGGCACTCATGGGACTGGCTTGTTTTTCTAAGCCACTAGGGCTGAGGTTTGAACTGTGGATAGCCATGTAGGATCTGGCTCTCAATGAACAGTGTTTAGCCACTGTGTTATGGAGCTGGCCCCTTGAATTCTGTATTTAAAGGTGGGTCTTCCTCCTTTAGTGGAAATAGAATTGCCTTAAGCTATTCAGAAACCAACCAGTAACCCATTTTTTGTTATTATTATTTTTTAAAATGTCAGATGATGTTATGTGCACACACATGAGAGGAGAGAAAGAGAAAAGCACTACTCAATGGGGCCTGGTCATGCCGCAATCCTTTCTTCCACCATTTCTCCATCCTTTCAGGATCCTGGGCATGCACACATGTTCCCTGGGCTGTTTTTCTAGAAGCAGGGACTGGGATTCAAACTGCAGTCAGTTGTGTGGGATCTGGTTCCCTCTGCCCAGGGCATAGCTGCTGTGCCATGGGGCTGGCCTCAGAAACCAGAAGCTTCTCTAGGGTTTTTCTAGCTTGGCCAAGAGCCATCCTACATGAGCAGCAACAGGTACACTGGGGCTAGAACACCCGATTGACAGTTGCCAGAGCTCCCACCTGCTTTGCAACACTTCTTTCCTTGTCCACCCTAGCTCTCCTTTCCTCCTGTTCTGTTCACTCCATTAACCAACCAAAGCATCGGATTAAACATGTATGTAGGACATATAGTTTGTTGTAATAAGTTTTAACTCCTGGAAATGTGAAAGGCATGTTTTATATTACTTTATAAAGAAAAATCCTTAAACAAAAAGTTAAGCAATTTTGAATGGGAATTCAGAATAGAATCCATCACACAAATTAGGATAAGACTTTAAAGAAGTCGGGCTGAGCTGATACGAGACATAGCCTAACATAAGATTTCAAACAAAGCCCAAAGCCAAGATATTATTTCTATAAACTCCAGGATATATCTGAAAGGATGAAATTTACTTGTTGGCTGGTTTGTGGATTTGGTTTTATTTTTGGACTCCAGTGCATATTTTATATAAAAATCACAATATGAAGGCATGCAAATCTAATAAAGATAATTTTCTTCCAGGTGGGCTTTGCTTACTAACTTTCGTACACTACTTACTACTCAGAGAATTCAAAATGTGGCAGGAGGTGCATCAGCTTCACGACTCACTGTGACCAGGAGACTCCAAGAGTATGGGCACAGACAGACCAGAAGATGGTGCAGCACCTCTGCACTGTCATGTGGTCCTATGACAACCCAGCAGTAATTAGAAACAAGCAAAAACCTCATGTCTGGGAGGTAAAATTCTATGTATTCTACAACTTATCTAGAGAATCTGGAAAACTGGTAAATGAATCTGCCATCTCTGTTCTATGCTAATAAGGCCAAGAAGACAGTGTTACCACTTTTCTTCTAAATCCTATTCCATTATTCCAAATGAGCATTTAAAAACCCTCCTAAAACATCTAGTTTATTATTAAGGTACTTATTTACCCAACATCAGTAGTGATAAACACTGTTACCTCAAATGTTACATACACCGTCGGATGATAGTGACCACAAGAAAAAAAATGAACAAAAATTTATTTCTTAAATTTACTGAAAGAATTAGAGCTGATAGAGAACAGAACATTTATGATAGCATTTAGAGTTATCTCAACATAAAAGTGATAGCTGTGGTTACAATTAGCACATGCACTTTGCTGTGAAGGTAAAAATACGATACACTAGACAAGCCTTGGACGTTAGGTAGGTGGGGTACAAGAGCAAGTGAATGTGAAAGATTGCACTTACCAGGAAATGGGACATAGCTAGGATATAAAATGGAGACATCCCTAATGCAAGTCACTGCATTGTTATGCTAGCAAATTGCACATTTACTTTAGGGTATATTATTCAATATACACACACATTAAGACTAAAAGATTCTCAAATACCCACCTTTAAAATACACCCCCCCTCCCCCATTTCTGACACATCCTATCTTGGAATTCATGTGAAACCTGTAGTTACCATTCAAACAAAACTCTTGTGTTCTAAGAATAAAAGATCCGGAACATTTCTCACTGTAAGTCTTAAATGCACGTTCATCATGATTCATTAATAATGAATAAGGAGATGATAAAGTTAGCAGGAACTATTCAGTTTGCAGGAATTAACTGCAAAAAGCCCTTAAAATTTAGAAATAAATAAGTAACAGAAGAGCTTACCCTGAGTTGAAACTTTTTAATTTTCAATGCAATATATATATAAGAATAGCATGCTAAATCACATCCTATTAGCATAGAGAATGGAAAAAAATAAATTCAAAAGATCTTCTTGACTTTGGAAAGTTTTGCTTTGATTTAGACCTTTTTGTTTCTAAACAGTATGAAAAAGTACTGCTGACAAATCCAAAGAAGAATTAGGCTGTAGGTTTGCTAGTTTTGAACCTTTCTGAGATCTGTGACAAAGCCCAATTTTAGGCTAGCCCTAAAAACCTTGCTGTTTTATAGCTCCAAATTAATATACAGAAAAGTACAAAAATTTTTAAAAAAGTAATCTTACCAGGGCAATATAATCTAACAATATCCATAATAGTTATCCCAATTATTTCTTGAATAAATTTATGAATTTATGGAGATTATTTTGATATTTTATACATCGCAACAAAATAAAACCTAATTGAAACAGATATGTATGGTTTAGAAATTTGCTCTTAACTGTGCAAAATCAGTAGAGAATGATGTGGAATATAACAGAATGGAGGAAGCTCTCTTCTGCTTAACTTACTTGGTCAATATGTGCCAGCAAACAGAAATACTTTGAGAAATTCCAATACGTGATTTTAATTTCTGCATTTATATCATTGTTTTACCTAGTTAATTTTGTGGGTAGAAAAAAGACATCTTGAACAATTGTATCTGATTTCTATTTCTAAAACTACTTTAGATGTTCTACTTTAAATATGAGCTTCAATAAATATATTCTAAGTATTCTTCAACTTCACTAACCTTTAACCTCACCGTAAGTATGAGGGTCATTGAATGACTTCATGTAGTAAAACCTTTTTATCAAGGACTAAGGTTGGAAATTAAATGAGTAACTAGGTAGAGAACAGACATGGAAAAAAAAATGATAATTTTGCTTTTCTCCCCTTGCTTCTACTCAGTTGCTGGGTATGTTCCCAAGTGTTGATGGATCCATACTAAAAATGGATTAAAATTTTAGATTTTAGTGGGTAGAAAGTCTGATGTTTTCTGGTTCTCTAAATTATTCAGCATCCTCCCTTTCTAAGAGATGAAGGAATAATATTAAAAACATGACAGACAGTCAAATTACAACAGCAACACATGCAATATATGTTAGACCTTTAAGAACAAAAATCCTACACGGGGGAAATTGCATTAGAAATAGTTAATTAATTTTGGCCCACAAAGGGGCAGTTTTGTGATGAGTTAGGCATTAATTTAAACAACATCCTTAGACACTAAAGATTTAAAGAGTAATCCACTAACTTTCTAATACTAGTTTTTACACAAATAAACAAAGATTTGTTTCTCTACCTACCTAAATACAGTTTACATGCATCAAAACATAATTATTCTAAGACATGCTCTAGGAAAGTAATTTTGTATCTAAAAAAGATCTATGATTGCTTCTCTTTAGGGCAAAGATGTACATTACCTATTAGTGCTCAAACACATATTCATTTCCTGAATAAATTTTTCCTCAGTAAGTACATATTTAATCCATTTAATCTATCTAAAGTGCTCTTGTGGCTGGGGCATTCAGCTATTGTACCATATTCTATACAGGTTTCAACATGCAGATTTGCTAACATGAGATCCTTTCTTCAATGATCATTCTTATTCCCTTAGATCATAAGTTCACATTTTATAACCACTCCCTAAAATTTATAAACTTCATGCTACAATGTTCTTCACAACACTGCTAATGTTATGAGGAAGGTTACAGCTAAACATGATTACAGTAACATCATTACATATTTTGAGGAAATGAAAAACGTAACAGTATGTATAAACTTCCTGACAAACATACAAAGTAAGACAATTCCGATCTAAACCAGCCTTTGATGACCAACTTAAATGGTGTGATGCCATTATCTTGTAGTGTGAATTTGGGTCTCTTGGCTGTGATTTCTGTTTCCTCATCTACTTCTAACTCTGCTACTTTACCAGTTTCATGTTTGTTATACCTAAAGTAGGAAACTGGATCAATCAGAACAAAGCATCTCCTCACTGTCTCACAAAGAAGTCCATCCGTATATGTGAAAGAACTCTGAAAAGTGTTAGGCACTATATAAATGTAAGAATACAAATGATAAAATACACAAGGACGTCTACTGAACAATATTCTGAAAGACTAAAGAGAACTATGTTTTAACTGTAAATGTATACCAATTTTTCTTAACCCTTTATTCTTTAATAACCTCTACAAACTATTTTAAGTTCACTTGGCCTGTGTAACTTAAATGACAGAAAAACAAATCTATTTCCTCTGAACTCACTTAACAGCAGTAGTCAACCACTAACAGAGCCTAACAGTTTCTTCTTCTTAGCCCCTATGACCAGCCTATGTTACAGGCAGGTGTAGGGATGGCATAAATGTGTTAGTGGCTTTACCATTAAACTCTGGAGGCCTGGCTCATTTTTGACCTGAAGAAGATATGGAAGAAAGAAGTTTGAAGTGTTCTTCAGTCACAAAGTAGAAATAAGTTCCACCATGTCAGAACTGGCAGATATTAAAATAATCTCTTTATTAAGTATCTCTCTAATAAGTATATTTGCTGTGTTATTTACTAAGATTAGTACACTTTTGGGATCTGTTTTGTTTTGGTGAAGACTGTCCAAGTCCTCTCACTAGGTTTGCTTCAAACACCAACTAGGAAAATATAGTTAAATCTTTGCCTACTTAAAAATAAAAACAAAGTATATTTAATTATAACACATTTTAAGCTAATATTGTATAAAGTGCTTTATTAACTAAACTCTCTGAAGTCTTAATTGAAGGGTCAATGTTTTTATATATGTGTAGAAAAACGTTTACAGTGTGAGCCTTTATAGTGGCAGACAATTTTTTTTTAAATGCTTGAGAAAGTTTGTGGTATTTATTCCTGGCTCTTACGAGGGCATGATGCTTTCATGAGATGGATATTCAAAAGGTTGTCAATAATAATCATATTTTTGAAAATTTTATGTTAATTATATGCTAGTTTAAAAATGGATATTTTTTAATTTGCCAAAGTAAAGCTCTGGAATTCCTTTTCTAAAGGAACAACTGGTAACATTATTATTAATGGAAGGGAATGAACAAATATTTTGTATACTGATATGACTATATAAGTAAGCCCCACCCTTTTTTGTCAGATTTTACAAAAGCTGGGTTCATATACTTAGGACCTAGGGACTATTCTAAAAGTATGTTGTCAGCTTAAGGAGAGGATCTGTACTTTGCTCCTCTAATTTTTTATATTAAATGTCTCTAAGTCACTGTATTTGATCAACGTTTTCATCAAAATGAATGTAGCTGTGTAAGTATATTACTGCTTATTACTTAAATGCCCTCTCCTCTCTCAACAGCAAAACAAGAAGTTTTACTTTATAAGTTTCAGATAAGCTTTGTTTTTCTTCAGTGCAAACATCCCAAAACAGCACTAAGTCAGTCAGCTATTCAGAGGATAAAGTCAGTTTATGTAGTGCTTAAAGGAGAATTCCAGGTATTCTGGAATGCAAATAGCCCATGTAACAATTCAGTACGTTTTTGTCCTTTAGGGCAAATAATCATCTTCAGGAAGTGAAGATTATTTTTTATCTGAATCCACAGATAAAATAATTTTAGCTTTACTTTATAGGAACTGCTGAAGTCGTAACAGCACAAGTCTTTCACTGAGGCATGTAGCCACCTTGTCTTACAGTCTGTGGTAAGTAGCTTTTAGGTGTTCCTTCATCAATCGCAGCCTCCATCCCAACTGTTTGGAATCTTTCTATTTGTCCCTCAGTACCTGAACCAAAAGCATCTGCTGCAGAAACTTCCTGAAACATTTTCATTTGCCCGGATCCACACGATTGTGAAATATGATTTGAAATCTGCTGCTGCTGAAGTCTCACAAAATCTTCCTCATTGACTGATGAAACTTGCTTTGACTGTTCAAAATGTGAAATATCTGGATTGGTTTCCTGTTGACTGCAGTTTTGTTTGAAATACTGCTGTCTGGGCAAAATGTCATCAGCGTTGTGATCTACTAACTGCAGATCTTCTGGCCGCTCCTCGGAATCTAACAAGGGCTGGGTGGATTCAGATCTCGAGAAGACTTGGACTGATGGAACCTGGTGTCTGTAGCCACTGTGTACCACAGTAGAATACTGGATGGTGCTCGAAGTGTTCTGTGCAGATTCAGTTTCATCACTGCTAGAAATGCTTGGCCTAGAAGATGACATGCATGAAGAACCCCCGATACCACTGCTATGTCCTTCAGTACTAGGTTTTTCCTTCTTGAATAGGTCCAATGATTTCAGATCATCTGGAAAAGACTTCTTCACATTTGCTTCTATTTCCACAACACTTACATCAGTGAAATTGCCATCTGAATACATTTGATTTTTTGAACTAAAATTGTGCTAAGAAAAAAAGAAAATCAATGATTACCAATGGCATATGTTCATTTAGAAACTCTTGGACATAGATGGCAAGTATAGTTAAAGACACAAAGCTACCACTCTCTCAAATTCACCAGTAACTTTCACTGATGCAGAAATAACCTAAATCACTGTCAATTACTCAAATCACAGATACTGTAAAATCAGTCAAACTGTATTTCCTCAGAACTTCCAAATCACTATTGTTAGCATTACATTTGGATAAGCTAAGGTCTAAAAATAGTATTTTCCATATTTGTAGTGATGACAGCTAAAATTCCTAGACCAGACAGCATAAGATTAACTAGAAAAAAACCTAAGAAACATTAAGAAAAATCAAACTTCAATAGCTGACATTCTATAGAATGTAAAGATATACAATATATTTTGATTGTCAATGGAAAAATTGAAAGATTACTGAGATAATATAAATGATTTCTTCTTTGGGATAAATGTTAAGTTTGAAGAGTTTAAAGTAGGTTCCCAGAAATCATCAGTGTGAAGATGATGATTTATTAATTAATCTAAAATGCTTACCTTATAACAGATTATTATCACATAGCAGTTTTAGCACTTTAAAGTTTTCAGTTTGCAAGTTCAATCACATATTTGCTATGCTTACTGAATAGAATTAGGAATATAAACAAATACGCTATGATGATAAACCCCTAGAATATACACTCATTATTTTAAATTTTGATGAAAAATTTCATTGTGTACCAATTTTCATTTACTTTTTGATTCAGTCTGAATCTTTGGGCTGCTCTTCGTATCCTAATACACCTGCATATTATGAACCAACTCGGAAGCAGGTATCTTACCCTCGGAGGTGTGTGAGGTGACCACTGGGCAATATGACTCTTTGAAGGATCTGGAACATTAGGCCAGATGTGTTTTTTAATTCTGAAGAGAAAAGAAATATGACACATGTAGAATCACATGTAATTAACAATAAATAGTCTCTAATTCTAAACACATTCATCTAAGAACCTCAAGAACCAAATCAATGAACTAAATTAACAAAAAATACTTACTCTACCCTAAAGCCACATTTTCTTGTAAACAGATAAAAATCACAGCCCAAAACGCAAAGATCTTAAGATATTCATAATGGAAATAACCTATTCAATTGTTAATAATGCTTAATAATCAGTATTCAATTTTTAAAAAGACCTCCCAAATCAAGTTCTGCATTAAAAACCATTTAAAAACTGTCTATAGGTCAAATCATGCTGTAGTATACTCTCTCTAAACAGATCAAAAGCAAGTCTGAATGCAATATAAAAGCTAGTAAATCTGCAAACCTAAGCAGACCAACCAACCAATGGACATGTTCCTTTAAAACGCAAATTATCAAAACAGACTGAAGAAAAAGCTTCAATGTATTTATAAAGAAACTGAAATTTCTTTTTTGGGGGGGGGCGGGGAGGTTTTTGCTATAGGGCGTGTGTGCTCACCAGGCAGACTGAGAGAGACAGAGAGACAGAAAGCGAGAAATCACCCCCCAGGGGGTATAGTCACACCGCAATCCCTTCTCCTCCATTCTTCTCTCGGGATCTTAGGCATGCACGCACACATGCCAGGCGTGAGTTCTAAGTCACCGGGTCTGGGACGCGAACTGGGGTCGACTACATGGGAATCCAGTGACATAGCCATTAGGCTAACTGCTGGTTCCCAAGAAACTGAATTTTTAATGAAAAACCTTCCCTCAAAGAAAACTGCAGGTACAGAGGGCTTCCTTTGTAAATTCTACCAAACATTTAAAAAGAAAATAATACCAATACTACTCAAACTCTTCAGAAAATAGATTACATGTTTCCATTCATTTTATGAGGCAACCTACCACAAAACAAAGACATCGGGCATACGCAACAACAGACCAGCATAATATATGAAGATAGATGGAAAAATCATTAACTGAATATGGTAACATCCAAGGATAATTTACTATATGAAAACTGATAATATTTACCAGATTTGTGGTAGAAAGTAGGAAAACCATATAATTATCTCAGTAGATTCAGAAAAGGCATTTGACAAAATTCAATACCCATTCACATGATAAATAAAAACAAAAACAAAAACAAAAAACAAACAAAAAACTATTAGCGGGAACAGCAGTTGGCATAATGGCTATGTCATTGGACTCCCACGTAGTCGACTACGGTTCACGTCCCGGACCTGGTGGCTTAAAATTCACGCTGGGCACGTGTGCGTGTGTGCCCAAGATCCCGAGAAGAGAATGGAGGAGAAGGGATTGTGGCGTAGCCATCCTCCCTGGGGGGTGATTTTTCGCTTTCTGTCTCTCTGTCTCTGTCTGTCTGGCGAGCGCAGGCGCCCTATAGCAAAAACCTCTCCAAAAAAGAAAAGAAATAGATTTAACAACAGATGTGCAAAGCCTGTCCACCAAAAACTTAATACTGCAAAGGGATATTAAACAAAACCCAGATAAGAGATGAACCAGGTTCATAGGTTAAAAGACTCAGTAGTGAGACCAGCAGTTAGCATAATGGCTATGTCATTGGACTCCCACGTAGTCGACTACGGTTCACGTCCCGGACCTGGTGGCTTAAAATTCACGCTGGGCACGTGTGCGTGTGTGCCCAAGATCCCGAGAAGAGAATGGAGGAGAAGGGATTGTGGCATGGCCATCCCCCCTGGGGAGTGATTTCTCGCTTTCTGTCTCTCTCTGTCTGTCTGGCGAGCGCACGCGCCCTATAGCAAAAACCTCTCCAAAAAAAAAAAAAGACTGTTTAGTGTTAAGATGGCAGTTCTCCCCAAACTGATCTCTATATTCTATAAAATCTCCCCCAAAATCAAAATTATAGCAGCATCAAAAAAAGTGTTATCTAGCCAAAATAATTCTAAAATTTTGAATAGGAGAAATTCTACCTATTACTCAAACTTAATATGGAGCTATACTAGTGAAGACAGTGTGGTATTGGTCTAAAAATGAACATACCAGATTAATGGAACAGAATTAAGAGTCTAGAAATAGATATGGACTTACATGAACAGTTGATTTTTAAACTGAGGTACTTAGGTAATTCAATAGGAAAAAATAAATGATGCTAGAACTAGATTATCTGTGGGAAAAAAATAAATGAACCTTGACTTTGACCTCACACCTTATGCAAAAACAAACTCAAAATGGATTATAGATGTAAGAACTAAAACTATTGAACTTCTAGAAGAAACAAGGAGAAAATATTTGTGAGTAGATTAGGCAAGTTCTTAAATGACACAAAATATAGGAATTATAGAAAAAAAGTGATAAAATGAATTTGATAAAAATTAATTTTTTTTAAAATTACTAGGGGGCATCTCCATTTGTCAGGAAGAGAGAGAAAGTGAGAAAGTATCCCACAAGGGGGATGACCATATTGAAATCACTTCTCCATTCTCCTCTTGGGATTTTGGGCATGCAAGCACATGTGCCCAGTATGTTTTTTGAGCTACTGTATCTCTTGAACTGTGCAGTCGGTCATGTGAGATCCAAGTGCCTTAATCACCATGCCATCAGCTGGTCTAATTTTTGCTTTTTCAATGTCTCAGATGAGAAAATAAAAAGGTAAAGCATAGACTGGGATACAAAATTTTTAACCACAACAAATAAACCACTTAGAAATGGGCAAAAAATGTCAACAGACATGTCACAAAAGGTGATACGAGAGTAATGCATAAAAAGATCCATTACTAGTTATAGGAAAATGAAAAATGAAAACCACAATGAGATAGTACTATATATTCTGTAGGAAAAAAGAATCACTAAAATGAAAAACTTTGACAATATCAACCGCTGGTGATGAAATGAAACACTGCTAATGATAATGACAAGATAGTGTAGCCACTTGGAAAAAAGTTTGTCAGTTTTCATAACATTTACCACATGACCTGGCATTTTCACTCCAAGCTATTTATTCAAATAAATAAAAACATATGCCCACAAAAGTTTTTATATGTGAATGTTCACAGCATCATTATTTATATTAGCCACAAATCAGAACCAACCTAAACTTCCTTAATAGATGAATTTTGAAATATCCATACCACAGAATACCATTCAGCAATACAAAGGAGAAAAATATTACTATTGGGTTGTTAGAAAAGTCAGGACATATTTTTGGATTAAAAACCATAGAAAATAATACATCATGACTTTTCTGACAACCCAATATATGCAACAATGTGGATAAAACTCACAAATATTATGCTAAGTAAAAGATATTGCACATAGCACAAAAGACTATATATGTTGTTTGATTCCATTTATATGAAATTCTATAGAAAAAGTAAAACTAATTATAGAAAGTAGATTAAGGATTGCCTGGGGTTGATGTTGAGGAAAAAAGAAAGAGGATATTTCAGGGTGATGGAAATATTCTATATCTGTGTACACTGTAAAGATTAATCAGGGGGCCAGCAGGTGGCGAGACAGTTAAGGCATTGGACTCTCATATGGCTAACTGTGGCTCAAGTATGGATCTGGTGGCTTGCCTTCCTCACTTTCTGTCTCTCTCTCTCTGTGAGTGTACATGTCCTATTGCAAATTAAAAAATAATAAAAAATAATTCTCTAAAAAATTAATCAAACTATAAACTTAAAATGGATGAATTTTATTGTATATACAATACAGTTCAATAAGGCTGGGGGGAAATGCAAAAATATGAATAAGAGTACTTACAAGTCTCTCTTATTAAAGCAGAATAATACTCCCAGTAGAGTTGTCAATAGGAATGCTAAGCAAACAGGCACAACTATGGCTTCAATTTCTCCTTGTGCTAAAAAAAGAAAAGAAAAAGAAAACGAGAAAAAAAAAGGTCTGATGGCAGATATTATTGTAATGGAAAACATATACTAAGAAGAAATAATACAATTTCCCAACCAGGTTACTGACTGTTGAAAGATGAAATACCCATTAGACCTCTAACTGGAAACAATGCAAGTAAGGAAAGAATGAGAACAACTGAAGTAAGATAAGCTAAATGAAAAGCAATTTAAGTGAAAAACAATTTCAACCAAGAATACTATACCTGGCAAGATTATCCTTCATATGGGAAGAAAAGACAAAAACATTCCCAGATAAACAAAACCTGAAAGAATTTACCAACACTAGACCAGTTCTCCAAGAAGTTCTGAAGGGAGTGCTATACCAGGAAAACTAAATTCAGACACACAGAAATAAGAGTACAAAAAACAACCAAAAAGAATGGCCAACTTAATGGTAGGGACAAGTCTGGAAAGATCAATAACAACGCTGAATGTTAACTTCCAGAATTTAAATGGAAAGATCGGACCACAGTAACAAGGCAAATTCAATGGAAGAGATTAATTTCATGAGACTGAACTGGTGAAGTAGAATTTTATGACTTTTGACTAAAACATTACTGATTTTCTTCTATGCTTTGTTTTCTAGATTTAAGGATTTTTGTCTTCCCTTGAGCTGTTGATAGGTTCATCTACCTGTTTGAACTGAATTTTAACCTTTTTCTTGGCTTTATGTCTTAAGCAAATTTCTCTTAACATTTTTTAATTTTTATCTATTAAAACTAAAACTGCTCTTCTTGAAATTAAAAAATGCATAAAAATAAAAAAGATGAAATATCTTTTTTTTTTTTTTTACAGTTTTCTCAAACTTAATGTTCTTTGTTTCCCCCTCTCTCCTTGATAAATCAAATCCTAGTCATTTATGTTTTATACAGTACACTGGCCATATAGTAAGCATAAAATATATGTTCTTTTGGGGAATAAAATGAATGAATTCAGTTTACGGGATAATCTACCTGGTAAGTCTGAGCTTTCTAACCTATATATTACACTTACGATCTGCATTCAGCAGAATCTTAGCTAATCTTTGAGTTCTAATACTCATTACTCTGTAACAGATTATACCAGAAAAAATATGAAACCTGGGTAGAACTGGAAAATTCTAAAACATTCTTAATTAAATTACAAATATAACCCTCAACAAGGAATCAAACCCCAACCTTCAGACAAAATTTTTGTTATTTACTATTTTTAAAAAGGTAATGTATTCTATATAGGGATGAAAATTTTAGGAGATGCTCAACAAGCACTAGAATGATACATGAATAAATCATATAAAAACAAAAAAAAGCCCAAACTCTTAAATATCACACGAATCCCTATTTGCATTTAACAGAGGCTTATTAAATCAAATAAAGGACAAATTGACACAATGAAAATATTGGTGATATTTTAAAATTATTTACCCTACAGTGTTTCTGGTTAAATTCTCTAGGTCCCTTTTAATTAGTCTTTTATAGGAAAAATGTCTGAAAATAATTAGGTTGTATTTAATTTACCTAGTTCTATCTTTTTACCATACATACTCACTTGTTTTTTTATTTTTTATCATGTTAGTTTTATAGGCCACAGATTATTTTTAACACCCATCATGCCATGAATTCATAGGGAATAGGTTCCAGAAGCTCAGGCTCCTTTCCATGGGTTCTCACAAAGTTTGCTTCTCTGGATGGAGCAGGCTGGCTCTTCAGCTGAACCCAGGTACCTTTCTTTTTGCCTTCTTTCTTTTTCTTATCATTTTCATTTATACATTTTAGGAAGCTATCTCTGTTCTTAGAATGCTTAATATGCTCAATATGCACATTAATTCTCTTGGCAAGAACCTTGCCCTTAACTTGTTTGTTCACAACAATGCCAACAACATGCTGGGTAACACTGTAGACTCTTCCAGTTTTGCCATGGTAACATTTGTGGTTCATTCTTTTTTTGAACAGTACCCATTCCCTTGACATATACAATACCACCTTTCTTGTAGATTTGCATGTATGTTGCCAAAGGAACCAGTCCATGTTTTCTAAAAGGCCTAGATAACATGTATTGGGTGCCTCTCCTTTTTCCCTTTGTGTTTGGCCTTTTGGTTAATTACTGAAAGATGGCAGTTCCAGCCAAAAGGCTATACACATACCCACATATAAGTAACTCTATATCCTATGAAGTCTAGTAGAAATCAGATAAATGCTTAGCAATAAACTATGGGATTGGCAAATATTAATTCTTAAATGGTGAGGATCTCATATACATAATGTCAAAGCTAATTTAGGCAGAACTCTTCCTTCATTGCTGTTAAACTTCTACTTTTAGGTTTTCATGCCTTGGGGCCTTGCTCCTGCTGGTCTCTGACATGCCTTCTTCCTATCTGTCTACATCCTAACTTCAGGGCTCAAGTATTGTCTTCTCCAAGAAATCTTTGAAGGGAATACTCTCCCCTACTGATACCTTTAAATTGCTACTGTATTTTCTGTCTATGTGGCCTGATTTGCTCTCCGTCCATTTTTTTTACTTACGCCATAATCAACTAAGCAATAAGAACCTTGGTGGCAAGATCCATGCCATGTAAAGTAGTCATAAAAAAATAAAAAAATACACAGAACAATGGACCGGTAATTAAAAACAAGCAGATTGTGAAGTAATACCAGTAAGTATAATCTAATTTTTAGGAAAAAACTGTATACATAGAAAAGAATAGAATGACATCCAAGATATTAGATTATTTTGGGTAAAGGAGTAGGACTGCTTTATCTTACTCTCTGTATTTTACTGTATAGTCTAAATGCCCTATATTTAGCATTATTTCTATAATCAGAAAAAATATTTTAAATTTTCCTAAAGATCATAGTACAAAGTTTTATTTCAAATATTATTTGTTATGTATCGAATCTGTTAATATGTCACCAAATGGGACAAACCTTATCCCCAAAATTACATTAATTATTGTAACAAACAATAACAGCAAATCTCAGACTCTCTTAACTACTCTATATAGTCATTCATTCACTCATAGAGGAATCAATAAGAAACCCAGAGGACAGGCGTTAAGGGAGCTGGATCCCACCATGGCTGACCACATAATCCCAGCCTTAATGACTTGTGGGTATGCACGTCCAAAATCCCAACAGGATGGAGAAATGAAGGGGAAGGGATTGCAGCATGACCATGCCCCATTGGGTGGGTGCTTTCTCCTTCTCACTTCTCTTTCTGGCAAGTATATGTACCCCCTGGCAAAAAACAACCAACCAAAAAACCCCACACAAAACAAAACAAACATGAAGTTTACTAGTTATTATTCACTATGTTGGCACTTGGGGGTGGGGGTTATAAATACAATAAAATAATTTTTAATGACTCAAAATATACAGGGAACAAAAGGAAACACAGCTTAAGTCTACTGCAGGGTGGCTACAGGAACAGCCGGAACAAGAAAAGGTTAAGGACCTAAATTAGGGCAATGCACTAGAAATCTGCTAGGAAAAGACAAAAAAGAGTATGACGAGGAGCTTACAGTCAAAGAAAGAAAATGATTATGAGAGTACACATAAACAATAATTAAGCATAATCAATAGGATTTGGTAATTGGTTTAAGTGAGGGAAAAAGATATAAAGAAATTTACTGCAACCAAATCTAAATTTCTGGCTTTAGCAAAGATGTAGATAGTTGCGTATGGAACAAAGGAAAAGAAATGTATCTGAGAAGGAAAATGAGAATGGCTATAAAGTCACAGAGCGAGAGTCTGACTAGACAGATAAGAAAACAAGGCCAAAAACAGAAATCTGGAATATAGCCTTTTAAAAGAAGAGCAGAAAATGAGGACAAAAAGGAAGCACCAGAGAGGAAGGTGATTCAGGAGAGCTAGTAGAAAAACAAAAGTATGGTTAGAAGAACCAAGGGAGGATAGAGTTTCAAGGATGGAAAGGCCAAGAGAATCAACTGTTGATCAACAGAAAAAAGATAAAGACTGAAAACCATGCACTGGATATGACTCAGAGGTCTTCTACAGTAGGTCTGGAAACCTGTTTTCAATAGGCTAAAGACTGAGCCAGAGGTACAGAAGTGGGGACTATAAGGGTGGACTAATCTTTCAAGGAACAAGAGTAGAGGAGAAGTAAAGATACCATACTCAAGCCAGTGGAAAATGAAGTCCACTTAGGAAAGAAAAATATTTTTGGATTCAAAGTATATGTAAAGTTAGTGAGAAGCAGTTAATAAATTAAGACCAAAAGGTAAAGTGTAATTTTTTCCTACTGTTTAAAGGAACCACGAGAACAGTAAACAACAATATAAAAATCACAATCTGTATCAGCCTGAGGGTTAAGGGGGCTGGATCCTCAAGGCCAACTGAGCAGTTTGAGTCTTGGCCCTGGAGGCTTTGAAAAACACACCAGGTGCATGTGCATGCATGTCCCAAATCCTGACAAGACAAATAAATGTAGAATGGACTGCAGTGTGACCAGACCACACTGGGAGGTGCTTTCTCCCGCCCTCTGTTTCTCTCCCGTACATTGTGCACTCTCTGGGAAATAAAAACAAAAATTCATGAATACTTCATTTGTATAAATCCAAGGATGTATTTAAAAATAAACCAAAAAAACCCCAAAAAACAAACAAAAAAAACTTTTTAGATTTTGCCATAGGGTATGTGTGCTCGCTAGAGCACAGAGAGAGGAAAAGAGAGAAATCACTCACTAGGGGGAATGGCCATGTTGCAATCTCTTCTCCATTCTTCTCTCAGGATTTTGGGCATGCAAGTCCATGCATTCAGCCTGTTTTTCAAGTCACCAGGTCTGGAATTTCAACTACAGAGTTGGCCATGTAAGGACAACATGCCACCTGCTGGCCCCCAAGGATAAACTTTTGAACAAGACTTTTAGCAGGCAAAATAAGTCTATTTCTAATCTGATTAAATTTAAAAAGAAAAAGAAAAGTGAAGATAGAACTTCATTATTTCTTACCAAATTTTGGTGTTGTAAAAGTGAATTCTGGGCCGTCCTTTCCGCCTTCATCTGTGTATGCTGCCATTCGTACCATGTACAATGTGTCACTAGTTAAAGAGGACAGCGTATATTCTGTGTGAGAAGAATCCACATTCACAGCTGGAAGAAATGAATCATGCTTTATTCAACTAGTCAGTGTTTTTGCTTCATCTGACCTGTACTTGGCATTGTATTAAAAAGAAGTAAAAATATTTTTCTTTAGAACAATTTTCATAACTGTGACATAGTATTCTTCTATAAGTACAACACAACATCTAAAAAAATAAAGCAATGAAAACAACAATAAGGCATATTCTTAGGGATTCTCTGAAGACAATATACTGTAATAAAGTATATAACAAGAAGGTGACATTAAATTAATATTTAAAAGCTTAAAAACTCTGATTCTGAATGATTGATATCGTCTTATTACCAGTTTCATTTCCAACGTTGGTTCTATAAAATATAGTGTAATTTCTGATAAATCCATTCTGAACATCAACAGGAAGTTGGTCCCACTCTAAGACTGCTTCATTTTTTCCCACTTTTTTTGTCCGAACAGTAGGTCCTTTGGAAGGTGCTGTAACAGAATAAATGTATTTACTAACCGAAAATCATTAGAACTTAGTAAAATTGCCTTGTCATAAAATTATTTGCACATAATGAGACATATCCTGTGGTAATACAAAGCCTTTCACATTTTCTTTTTTTCTTTTTAGAGATTTTTGCTATAGTGAGTGTGCGCTTGCCAGAGACAGAAAGTGAGAAGTCATCCCTCTGGGGGATGGCCATGCCACAATTCCTTTTCCACTCTCCTTTTGGGATTTTAGGCACGCATGCATACACACTTGGCATGAGTTTTAAGCCACCAGGTCTAGGGTTCAAACCGTGGTTGACCACGTGGGAGTTTAGTGACGCAACCATTATGCCATCTGCTGGTCCCAACAAAGCCTTTAACATTTGACAAAGAAAGTAGGTTTGGACTTACGAGCTTGTTTAAGGTATGCCTTTATAGATTCTGAGCTTCCTGGTCCATCAGCATACACTGGAGTAACTGTTATTAAATAGCATTTGCTCTCTGTTAGATTCCCTAAAGTAAGAATAACAGACTAAGTATTTTTTCCCATAATGAAAAAGTTAAATTAATACCATCATTTTTAGATTATAATTTCATGACCATGTAATTTTCCTTCCTCTTAAAATCATAGTTTTCTGAATAAGCATTGTCATTGGTATACGGACTCATGCACAGTAGGATAAAACTATTTATAAAAGCAAAAGGTTACTTTATTGCTAATCTTACATTACTCTGAGTCTTAAAGTTTGACAATTTTTGTATAGTTGATCTAATTCTCTAAGAATTGCCTAGTGAGTCAGATGCCACTAGTAATACCTGGGGGAAAGCACTAATGGCCCTGGTTTGTTGGGTGAACTGGCAAGAATTAGCGTTAGTTTCCTCGTGATTTTAAAAGGAAAACAATCTTAAGTATTTCCTTTGTTTACAGTCCCTACAAATTATTAAAGTAATCTATTATTTGCACATGCAACAGTAACATTTTTCTTTTTATATAGCATATTTTCTGTGTAATATCAGAAAATAAGGTGTTTGCTATATTGAAGTTTGTATCTTCAACAAGAACTTCTATTTCCTTAACTCAAAGCTTAGTGCTTTCTCATTAATTCTTTTTTTTTTTTTTTTGAGAGATTTTTACTATTGGGAGTGTGTACTTGCAAGAGAGACAAGAAAGACAGAGACAGAAAGTGAGAAATTACCCTCTGGGGAGATAGCCATGCCACGATTCCTTCTCTTCAGTCTCCTCTTGGAATTTTGGGCATGCATGTACACGCACCCAGCATGAGTTTTAAGCTGCCGGGTCCAGGACTTCAACCACAGTTGACTACATGGGAGCCCAGCAATATAACCACTACGCAATCTGTCAGTCCCTCTCTGATTAATTCTATTATTCACAGTTGAATTCTAATGATTATCCTTCTTTATTAAAAAAGCATATACGAGCTGAGTGTTTTGTTTTCTCTTTAAAACTTATTTTATGGCCTCTTTAAGTAGTATCTTAACAAGACAATCCATGTTGGTGCTCTATAATCTCATTATATTGGGCTGTTGGGAAAGCCATAAAATATTTTTTTATGCAAAAACGCATCATAACTTTCCTGGCTACTGAATACTTTCTGAGTTTTCTTAGTTGTTTAACTCAAAGACATAAGGAAACTTGAGTTCTGGTTCTGCTCACTCTAATCAAAGATGGTAAGAAGTTAAAGTCACCTAGATGCTCTAGGAAATCAGGTACAGAAAACATACAACTAGTCTGCTGATTAGTTTGCAAAGGTTGGACTAATGTGTAACACAACATTTTGTTCACTCATGGACAACATATACCATATGGCCTAGATGTGTAGTAGGCTGTACCATCTGCATTTGTGTAAGTATACGCTATATTGTTCACACAATTACAATATTGCCTATTTGATGCATTTTTCAGAGCATATCTCCATTTAAGCAGCACATGACTAATTTCTCCATTACTTTACGGTGAGTGTTCATTTGATGATTAAGCAATAGTAGAGTATAAAAAGAAGACAGTATTAACCCCATTCAGTTCATATACAGAGGTTAAATAAGGCTATGATAAATTGGAAGTCTTTTCAATGGATCACAATGCCTATAAATAACCAGTAAAGAATAAACAAAAGAATAATCTGTCTAAACAACTAGAAAAGAGATAAATATAAACTTAAGGTTTCTTGTGAAGTATACCTCTTAAATAGGTGCGATGCACAGTACCATCTTCTTGTTGCCAGTCTGAGATACAGGGTGATTTATCTGATAACACACACCACTCAAGTATGTATTTGCTTACAGATTCATTTGGAGCAATCCACTCTACCCAAAGCATGTTATCTTTGGGGAATGCTTTAAGATCCATTACAGGGTGAGCAGCTTTAAAAAAAAGTTTGAAAACTTGATAGAATAAATGAACATTCAAAAATTTTAAAGTGCAGTATTTTATAGTCATTTCCCAAACATGTTATTTAATCAGTTCTTATAACATATACTATTAGCAGTTATTTCCATGAAAAAAAGCACTTTATTATAACTTACATGTAAGAGAGATAGTATATTTTCAAACTTAAATTCTTGCTTCCCCCAAATTACTCAAACATTTTGTGTATGTAAATTTGTAAATGTAATTTTTCTTCTCTTTTAAAACTAAAGATGAAACTATGAACAATATATTTAAGCTATACATATATAAAGTTCTCAAAACCTTGAAACAATATTTTAAAAATCAGATACGTAATCAGAAAAGCTTCAATGGATTATGTAGCTCAAAGGTTTAAGTGAGCCCCAAAGTGATGAAACTATTATATTTCATTCATTCTGATAAAATTTGCCTTCTGATTGATTTCTAAAATAATCATCCTATCAGGGAAGAAAGTCTTAGATTACTTCTGTTTTGATGGTGCCCTGTCCATACCTAATCACCTTTTCTTCTGTCTATGAGCTAGGATCCATTTCACAGACACAAACCTTGGAAGTCAAAGGCAGGGATAGTTAAAACAGATGCATCTGATCTGCCAACCAGATTTCTTGCTGTTAGAGTTGCTATATAGCGATCATTTGTGAGATTTACTCTCAGTTTTGTGTCGTTAACTGTGTAATTTTGTAGCTGTGATGATTTCCATCTTGTGAGAGTCACTTCAAAGTCCAAGATTTTCCCATTGGCTTTAAAAGGTGGCAATGTCTGTAATAAAATTTAGAAGACATATTTAATAAATGAATACAGTTCATCAGTTTTTTTATGTTCACAAATTCTACCACTGTCAAATTTCTAAAGATTTAATTGGAAGAAACTGGAAACGTCACTGTGAACTCAGTACTAAAGTAAAACTACCATACACTAAAGAGAAACTAAGAATATGACCTCAACTAAAAGAAGGGAAGTAGTATCATTCTGTTAGCCTTTACTTCTGTATACAATTCTGCAATATAGCTAGTGGGCTTAAATTATTTATTATTTGCTTGAGTATTTTTCTTCCTTTTTAAGTACGATCCACCTCAATCTGTCAGCATATATTTTGATTATTCCAAACCCTTATTAATTCTTTCTTATTAGGAACTCTGGACAATTCAATAAAATATAAGACAGGCTCCCTATACTTACAGAACTTATACTTTCATAGAACTGCACTGAAATTCTATCTGTAGTTTATGAACCTGACTTCTACTTTTACAGTATATGTAACAGTTGTTTTTATTTATTAAAAATGGTTATTAAATGCTTTGAAAAAAATAAAACAGAATAAAAATGTAACCATTTTTTAAAAAACCTCCATTCATAATACCATATAAAATATTTGTATGTGATAAAGGAATGTAAACTTTTTTTTTTACCTTCCATATGAGTAGTACAGATCTATAGGCATGAACATGTGATGGCTCTATCTTATACCAGAAACTTGGTGTTTTGGATGGTCCTAAAGAGAAGACATAAATTTCTTAAAAAGGTTTTATTTTAACAGTAAAATGAAATTGTGCAAATTATCCTCTTTGTTCTTAATACTCTTGCCTTTTGATTGCATGCTGTCACTCCTCCCCCATTTGTAGCCCATCTCACTCTTTATACCAGCATTTTCCCATCCCAGCACAGTAAGTATGGATCGTACTTTAATCAGGGTGATGGCATAATGATTTCAATGATATTAGAACTCTCTCTACTCTCAAAATTGTAAAGATACAAATATATACTAAGCAACAATCAGAGACATCACTATTTCTTATCATTTCATGTTCTTTATCCTGTTTGGTTGCTGCACTATACTCGTGTATACAGCAATTTGAACTTTCTGGACTTGCTGCTTTCTCTCCAGCCTTTCTGGCTGGCCTGTTCATGCTTCTGTTTTGTCACCTATAATTTTGTCACCTATAATGTCATATGTAATACATCACTGCTTAGATTTTATTAAGATCCTTTTCTTAAAATCCTACTTATAACCATATCTTATATTTATATTTTGATTTTTTGGGGGTAAGATTTTTTTTTGCCATACAGTGTGTGTGCTCACTGGAGAGAAAAAGATAAGAGACAGGGAGGGAAAGTGAGAAATTACCCCCTGCGGGGATGGCCATGCCCTTCTCTTCCATTCTCCTCTTGGGATTTTAGGCCTTCACACACACACACCCAGTGTGATTTTCAAGCCACAGGGCCTGGGACTTGAATCAGCCCTGTAGGAGTCCAGCACCTTAAACACTGTACCAAATGCTGGCACCAACATTTTTATTTGTTAAAGAAAAAAAAAACTTTTTAAAATAAAAAGAGTGATAAAATGAAAATGGAATTTAAATCAGTTTATAATACTTATTGCTAAAGAGTTTTAAAACTGAACAATAATATTTAAACACATGATTAAAGCCTGTATATGTAATACAAGTTAAAATAAATGTAGTATAAATTTATTACTTTACGCTGAGAATGATTCAGTGATAGGATAAAATTAAAACAAATTTGCAAGACAGTTGTGATAATAACCAAATATGAAGAAGCACTTTATAAAAAAGTGTCAAATACTAGCAGGGTTTAAAAATTCCTGTAGTATCAACTGATTTTTAAAAAAATGTTTATAAATATAATCTCAAACATGGTATTGAACAGAATAAGAAAGGATCTGAATAATATCTAAGCAGTGATGTGTTACTCATGAAGAGGTAATTACAGATGACAAAACAGAGAAACAAGGACGGGCTAACCAGGAAGACTGGAGAGAAGGCAACTGGTCCAGGAGTATACTCTTGCTATATGTAAGAGTACAGAATAAAGAATGTAAAATTATAAGGAAAATTTATGGGCCAGAAATATTTTGTAACATAGAAAGAATCTAGAGGTTGCATTCACTAAACTAAGCTGAAGAAATACTTCCTCCAGTGGTTCACAACATTTTGGGCTTCAAAGATCTCTTTGATTTAACAAAGATCATGCACCTCTTCCCAGAAAAATGCACACAGGGAGTAGCCACAATGTTTTGCCTACAAGTGTTTCATGAACTCCAGCACATTTACTCATGTAACTAAAAGTCCCAAGAATCCTAGTTTAAGAATTCTGGGCAAGACAAAAGAATCAGGTTGAGTGCTCCCAAACCAGAAAAAGCAGGACTTGTTTTTTTTTCCCTGGCATTTAGGAGAGGAAGAAAATCTTAGGAGAGAAAGATATTTTTTTTGCCTCTGACAATCTCAATATATCCAATGACCTAAACCTTAGTAGAGCTATAACTGAAAGGTAGGAAAGGTTTAGCCACAGCTGTTGCCTTTAAGACTTAAAGGGTGAAAGTATGATAGAACAATGTTCAAAAAGCAAATCTGTAAGTCAGGTTTTAATCCTGGTCAGGATTATTTCTTGACAGTTACACAAGAAATTAGTAACAGTGGCTGCTTTGGGGAAGGAATCTTACTTTAGTCTCTATAATCTTTTGTATTCTATAACTAAATACATTATATTATCTATTAAAAAAAAGCATGGAAAATGAAAATAAACAGCCAAAATTTCAGCTCAATTCTTTTCCAAGGACTTATTTATTTATTGGAGAGATTTTTGCCATAGGGTGTGTGTGCTCGCTAAACAGACAGGGAGACAAAAGGAGAGAGATCATGCTCCGGGGGAGAGGGGGATGGCCACACCGCAATCCCTTCTTCTCCACTCTCCTTTTGGGATTTTGGACACACATGCACATGTGACAGGTGGGAGTTTTAAGCTGCTGGGTCTGGGACTCAAACTGCAGTCGACTACATGGGAGTCCAGTAATGTAACCATTATGCCATCTACTTGTTCCCCAAGGACTTATTAAGGACTGCTAAAAAAAATGAGTAAAGGGTATAGTAAAGGTCAAAGGATATATTTTGCTAAATAGAGTGATTTTAATGGTTAAGAATGTAATTCTCCAAATATTTCTTTGACAGTAAAGATCAAAGGATATATTTTGCTAAAATGAGTGATTTTAATGGTTAAGAATGTAATTCTCTAGTTAGGGGTATCTCTGGACCACTTCTTGAAATAAAATATTCTGGAGTTATCAGCAGTTAAGCCCACAGTTTTCTGATGGCAGCTAAGATACCACTCAGTGATAATTTTCATAAATTTGGTATCAGAATTGTATTATCAATAATATAAATTAAACTTCATATTTTTGAAAACTTCATTCATGATGGTGTGTGCATGCACTTGGAGAGTTTGAGTGCACATGTATACATTGCTTAAGAGTAGCCAGATCCCACTGGGTCTATGGTTGAAATCCTCATCCCAGTCAGCCTGAAAACGGCATGTACATGAGTATCCAAGATCTAATGGGCTGGAGGACTGGAGAAAGAGGATCACAGCATGACTGGACCTTGTGGAGTGTGCTCCTCTCTCTCTCATGTGTGTGTGCACATGGCCTATCACATATGAAGTTAAAAGAGAGAGAGAGACCCTTGACAGGGGTCTCATCAGGCTGTGATTGCCTCTTCTCAGCTCCTGCTCAGTGGGATCTTAGGTATATGGGTGCATGCCCAGCATGTTTTCAGGCCCACACAGGAATTGAACCTACAGCTGACCATGTGATTTTTAGCAGTGCAGTTCAGTATGTTACTAACTGTGCCAGCAAGCTGGGTCAAATTTTATATCTTGATGACCCTAAAAATGTAAGTGTAAAATACTAATTTGAATAAAATGTTGACAAAATAAGCAATGAGGTTAATATTAAAACCAGCCACAATTCACAGCCAGAATTTCAATGACTTTATTTCATCATATACTTGTTTACTCACTATCTTCGTATGTGATCCCACTTGCTTCTTGACTCCAGTCACTCCAGTATCCCTTGCCATCGGCCTTTATACAACGTATTCTAAACACATATTCAGTAAAAGGTTTAAGGTCCTGGACAGTGAATGAAGATCGGGTAGATGCTGTATCTTCACAAGGGATCTGAAAACAAAGAAAAGTGACATTCCTAAAACCCCAAATAAGGACTTCTAAATTGTGTACCCTTTTCTTTTTAAAATTAATTTATCTATCATTATTATTATTTCTTAATTTGCTACAGGGCACATGCACTCACCAAAGAGAGGTGTACAGAGAGTGAGAGGGAAAGTGAGAAAGCAAGGGGCCAGGCCCAGGACTCACACTGTGGTTGACCATGTAGGAGTCCAGCACCTTAACTACCTGCTGGCCTCAGTTATGTAACATTTTAGAAACCAATTTAACAAAACAGAACTAACAAATCAATCTTTTGAGAGAAATACATGTAAGTCGAACGCAGTCAAAATCAGTAGTATGGTGTTAGAAGTGGGGGAATTTCTATCTAATTTCCTCCTTTTCTTTCTTTCTTCCACAGGACCCATAAGACTCCAGATGTCAG